AACCCAATGCCCAAGATCCAAAAGTCTCCTCATCTCTAAATCTCAACCAAACTCTCCCTCTCCCTCTCTCTCTTTTTCTCACACTCTCACTCTTACTCAATATATATAAAATTTTCATTTTCATTTTCATTTTCATTTTCATTTTGACATACCAGTGCTTAGATACAACCCATAACAACTCAAGAACTTTTTTTTGATACCAATTGCAAACCATCCCATGCCATGCCATACCAAACATCTCAAAGTCAGTCATGCTCAACCACTCCATAAATGACAAAGCAGAGATTTGCACAAAGTATATACTTTTTCCAACTCCCTAATCCCATGCCATCCCACTCCATTCCATTCCAACCCAACCCAACCCTTCCAACCACCATGTTTTGATTTCCTCTTCCCTTCTCTTCCCATATGTACTTCATCCATCCATCTCAATCATCTCACTTCCACTCCCACACCCACACTGATACTTCCACTTATACAAACGCCCTCAACCCCCTCAATCCACTCCCCTTTTTCTTCCCCTTCGGACTATTCTTCGGACTATCTTTATCTTCCGCACCACTCCCACTTCCCTCCTTCCTCCCATTATCCTTATCCTTATCCTTATCTTTTTTGGAGCCCCCGATATTTTGAACCCCTCCTATTTGCACGTCAGGTAATGAATACGAAGAGACGGAAAAACCAATAGGGGGAGCATCATCTTTCTTCAACTTCGAATTCAAAGTACGATTTAGTAGGGTTGAAGCATGAGTGTACTCACCACGACCATAGATTCTAACTTCACTTTGTGGTTTAACTTTAGGCTTTTCCATGGCTTCCAAGGAATCCATATCGCTACCACCACCATCTCTACTCGCATCTGAATGTGAAGAACCAGGTCCTTTACCGAAAGTATTGGAATGGGAAAATCGACCTCCGTAAAACTCGGGGCTTGTAGGGTGACTCGTAGGTGATGATCTAAAAGCAGGAGCGGAAGTTGGACTGTGAGTATCAAGTCTTGGATTAACAAAGAAGCTTGGTGTACCCGTGCTTGGGATTTCTAGTGCGACACTTGGTCTACCCGAATCGGAAAGATTGTGCGACAAGCGACGATGATCTCGTTGGGGAATATGCGGCCCGGGAGATCCATCAATGTTCATGGGTAAATCAGAAACTCTGCCTTGTGCAGAGAGTGCTTCGAGATGATCTTGCTGTAACCTAGTATATCGTCTTAGAAGATTAGAATGAGCCTTCTGCATATCATCCATGCGTCTTCGTGAACCAGCCAAAGCTTCTTCGATGGCCTTCTGTTTTGCGGGATCCAATTGCACATAGCCATTTTGATTGGCCTTTTGTGCTTCTGCTTCTGTAATTTCCTTTTGAAAATAGACAATCAATTGTTGAATTTCAGCGTCTTTGGCCTTCAATTTCATATTGAGCATTTCAATCGTATTGTACGCTTGCTCTTCATCGCGCTTTGCTCTGTCCATGTCAACCTCTAGGGCTTCATACCTCCGTAACTTGGTAGTAAGTTTTACAGCCTCGATGCGTAATCGCTCCAGTTCTTCCTTATTTGACTCCACCACTTGAATCTCTTGAGTAGAATTCGCAACCTTGTATTCGGCTTGAATGACCAATTGTCTTAGATTGTATATATCAACTTTTGACGCAGTTAGGTCACGCTTTAATTGATCGCCCTCGAGAATCCACCTCTTTTGTTCCTCTTTCAATGCTCGCAATTTAGCCGTTAAATCAGATTCCCACTTCCTGGAGTGATTCCGGCTCTTATCGGATTCCTTCTTCGTTTGCACGATGGCTTTCTTGGCATCGTCCAGCTTCGCCCTCAAGATTTTATTAGAGTTGATCAAGTTCTGAGTTTCGGCTTCAACTCTTGCTTCGCGGATAGCCTTTCGACGGAGTTGACCAATGTGAGTGAGATGTTGCTGTTTGAGATAACGTTCAAAATTCAAATCATTTTTCAACAACATGATATCCCGTTGTAAGTATGCAACTTTTGTCGCATCGTTTGTACCGGGTCTCAAAGATGGGGAACGAGGAATTTGTGCTCGGGAGAGTGATTGCAAGTATGAATCGACATGAGAGTTATCATCTGGAACATGATGACTCAATGAAAGAGATTGTACACTTTCGTTTGTCAAGGTTTGATAGATACCACCTCTGACCGATCCAGCTCGTTGAGAATCCAACATATCTTGCAAATGAGTATGTGAAGGTGATGTGGCTATAAATGGAGGCAACGTCGGGCTATCAAATCGTCTTTCGGCTTTCAGAACGGGAGAGTCCGCAATCGAAGGCATTGATTGACTTGTGAACGATGCCCTTCTTACTAAAGAATGTCGAAGTCCTTCTGGCGATGCAACTGTAGTTGATGGAGCGTATCTCCAACCCGAGTGCCGAGTTTGAGCTGGCGTAATTGTGCTTTGCTCCACGAGTGGTTGTTCTGGAACATCGGGATTAGTGTCAACATGTAAATTTGGCAATTGTGATCTCGATAATGGAGCTTGTTGAGCATATCCTGGAATGTATAGTGCCATGCATTCAGTCACAACATCTGATGCTTCACTTTTCATCCATCGATTAGTGTCTGATAATTCCTGATCAATAGTCATTGTGAAGAAGTTTGGGTGTAAAAGATGGACTTGTCTGTAGGGTTCGGATCGTTGTCTAATTTCCATAGGTTCGACTGCAAATTCATTCGCCCCTGGGAACCCTTGATGTCTCAGAAACTTCTGAGGTTTCCGGATGTAGCTCATGAAATTCATCGGATAAAGACCGTAAAGAAATGTATAGTAATGCAACAATTCGGGAACTGATACATCTTCCGAGTCCAGTAAGTAAGATAACTTGGTCCATGAACTTGAACTGTGAGTACTTTTATCATCTCGATCATCATATGCCGAATTATCCTTATATTTGCGTTCCCTGTCCCAGAAAAGCATCCTACTATAGATATTGAAAAGAGCAGGGAGATGCTTAGAAAGAGAGCTTGCAATATGAGGTAGGAACATGATCAACGCTGTCATAGCCAGAGATACCACTCGAGTCGAGGTATCTATTTGTAAACATCGTAGAAGGTTTTCGAATAGAGGGGTTTGAAGAAGCTGATGTAGATGAGGGGGTTGATGTCGAATAAACTCGCAAAGTAATGAAAGGGTAAGGATTCGACTGTCTTTCTTCACGAAGAATTGGTTGATGGCAGTTAAGAAGTTCTATGTTTCGTCAGTACCCCATCCCCGTCTCCAGATTATACAATGTATACATACCTTTGGTCTCTTCCTCCCGAATGATATAAGTATACCCCTTAATTGACTCTCGACAAATCTCGCTTTCTCGTCAAGTTGTATGGGGCCACTATTACACTTTGCCAACCAAATTGCGAGTAGATTCTCTGCCACCGTATCCGAGGTAGTAATCGCATCATCTATATGTCCCTCATCTTCATCATAAATAAGGATGTCCAGCAAGGTATTCCTAGCTTCCACGGCCAACCCTTTCTCCTCTCCGAGATGACTCAAAACGGGTATGCACAGTTTATCCCACCATTGTAACATTCTGCCGCCCCCTTTTATTGAAGTTCTGAGCTTTCGCAATATGGAGAGGAAGGAGGCAAAGCGGGTAGGATGGTCCGCGACATCCTTTTCGTAAAGAGAAAGTAATTCCTCTTGCAATTTGTTGGAGTCGGACTCATCGTGGCTAGGGTTCTTCTCAAGGTAGGAGTGTATAATTCGCACAAGATCATCGGGAAGCGGTAATCGGGTAGAATTCGTTACCGATATCTTGATGGCTTTGGTAAGTTCCTTGGATGAACTGCAATGTATAAATGTTAGATGAGAGACGGGAAGGGATGTGAAAGTTTCATACCTAAAAGCAGACATGTTGCCTCCTTCATTGATAGCTCTAACAAATAAAGCTGGGTGGTAGGCGCTTTAGCTTTACCAAGCTTTTCTGTCATGCCTCTAATCTTCTTTAAGACGCGGGGTCCTATTTTATTTATTTCTTCGAGTTCTTCTTCGAGTCTATCATATTGGGTCAATACATATCATATTGAAATATAATATATAAATCTTACCATTTCCCCATATTGCACAACAGAATACCGTAACCGTAAATATAAATGTAAAAGAATCCTAAAAGAATCGTAAAAAGGAATTATCAATATTATATGCAACAAGGCACACTACCGTATATTGTAGATCATCTGCAGAATTTCATGCTACTGGGGAAAAGTGGCGCAGAATAAGATTCAGTCTTTGTCGCTGACGTTGAAAGTACTGTACCGGTATGTATGGTTAGGTTTTTGTTTTTGTAGGAGAGGAACTTTCATCCTTATTACAAGTACCGGTAATATTTCAATATTTACAGTAACATAAACTAGTATCCATCCGGGTAACCTTACCTTTACCGAAACTTACTCTGATAAGACAGAGAAGCGAAGGCGGTGACTTCTTATCGCCGAATCAATTGAGTCTGAGTCTGAGAGAGATGTTATCTAGGTATCTACTCAGTGTACTCCGTTGTAAAACCAACAGTTGGATTTGACTATCTACAAGGAGTTGTCAACTATCGCTATCAGTAACTACTAACCTTACCGGTAAGTAACTACTGTAAGTACCTAAGTGGATTACCGGTACTGGTACCCGGCACGGGACGACTACCGGTAACCATGCCATCCAGTTATACCGGTAAATTAGTTAAGTTACCCTTATCTATACCTTTTGTTGCGCATAATATCTGAAGACGTTCTCATCCCTTGTGGTTATTGCATATCATATCAATGTCAATATTCCGTCTCAATGTTCACAAGACGGGAATTCATCATCTCATATATTGAAGCTAATAACATATATTCACAATTCTAAAATTCCCCATCCTCAACATCCCAACATGCTCGCGCAAAGCCCCTTCACAAATCTAGTCTCATTCTCATTTTCATTCTCACTCCCATTTCATTCCTCTCCCTCTCACAACACATCCCCTATTCGTTTAAAATTTAAACTTCCTTAAACCAAATACTCATCAAACCAAGCAATAGCCTGCAAGAAAGCCTGTTCCTTTGCAAACTTCTCGACCGGGTTTTTCATATCACATCTAACCGCAAAACCATGGTTTGTACCACTGAAGAGGTTCATTTGATAAGTTGCCTTAATTTCCTGGAGGATCTCCTCCGTCTTGTGGCGTTTCTCCATGGGGAAGATTTCGTCTGTTTCGGCTGCTGCGATGGAGAGGGGTCCTTTGATTGCGCGGACTTCGTCTTCTTCGGTAAAACTTTGGGGGAGGGGGGATTGTTAGTTATGATGATTGTTTATTGGTTTGTTTCGGGGGAAATAAATGGGAATGAAAACTTACGAAGGATGGGCTACATATCCAACATCGAGACCCTTGCCCTCGGCCAAGAATCTAACTACGGATTTTGCACCAAAGCAGTATCCTACTGATCCGATCTTTGTGTATCCCTTGGATTTGAGGTATGCAATTGATTTCTCAATGATGGGATCGACGTATGTGTATGTATGTGGGTTATTTCCATCCGTACCCTGGGTTAACCAGTGCATGAAGTCGAAACCTTCGGGACGGTTGAGGGTTAATGGGTCACCATTGAAGAGATCGGGCATGATGGTGTAGTAACCATTGGCTGCAAATTGATCGGCCATCAATTGAGAGTTTTGCCCTGATTGCAAGATTCATTAGTTACTGGAACTAGGTATCTTCACCATACAAAGCTGAGGATGAAGTGGAAGTGCAAGTACATACAGATACCGATAACATCTGGCAAGTAAAGAATGGCAGTATCCTTGTGGACGTTTCCCTTGGGCTCAGCAACATATGCATCAATGGTATCAGCAATCTTGATAGAAGATCCAGTTGGTTGACCTCTATAAGAGCATTTTCATCAGCTTAAGATCCATCATAAACATATACAAGAAAATCCCCCACTTAGAGCTCTTCAAAATACTCGAGTAGGTACTAGATAGGTAGTTAAAACTTACTCGTGCTTAACACCAAGGGTACAACATTGAGCGGGTGGGTTTGATGCCATATTGAATGTGTGTTATTGAGTGTTACGGTAAGGTTATATGAAGAGAAATATCTTGAGATGAGAGTTTGAGAAGGAAAATTAAGAAGTTTATTTGTTAATTTCAAGTCGAACAGCAAACCCTTCGGTACTTATTAAAAAATTACGTAGGAACGGCTGCAGCAGCTTAGTATGACCCAGCTCTACCCCTCCACTTGGCTCTATAGATAGTGGATCTGACGGGGGCCATTGAAGCAAATTGCTTATTAAATTCAGTTTAGATTTGGGAAGGGATTGTTAATTCCGTGGTATTAACTCCATTGTAGCCATAATAATTCCAATAAAAGATTGGAGTGGTGATCGGAGTGAAGGATTGCGAATACCGGTATCGCTCTGTTTTTATCTTTATATGAGACTGAGACTTATTGTTGCAGTCATTATTGAAGAATTTTTGAATTTCAATTAAAGTACAGTATATGATTGGTAGTTCAGTTCCTAGATATGAAGATGGATATGATGAAGATATTGATAACAATAATAATAATCTGTAGCACAATTAACATTTAATATGGATCTGAGACTTAAAACGAGATATAACTGGTAGATGAACACGTGTGAATGGAAGATTGAGGCGCTTATCTACTTATAACGTTATCGCGTCTAAAATCGCATTCCCATCAAATCGCCTTCCACTTCCGATAACTGGAAATATTTCCGCGCTTAATTTTATCTGATACTGGCGATTTCTACCAACAGCTCCAAACTCCCATTCCACCACAACAATGGCAGTACCACTCGCCGCCGTCGCCCGGGCGCCCAAAATGGGTCGCAAACAAGTCTTTCTGTACGATTTGCCCTCCGTATTACTCCTCCTATCCTATTCTGTTCAATCACTAATCCCTCTTGTCTCAAAAATAGTCCCAATTTCACCATAACGCTCCTCCGCACACCGACTCTGCCACCCTCGTTCGCTTCGTTTATCGTACCCCTCAATTTGAATAAATTGGATCTGAGAGATTATTTGTGGAATCTTTATGGGATAGAGGTGAGGGGAGTGAGGAGTTATATTCAAGCGCAGAAATTGAGGGAGGGGAAAGAGGGACAGAAGGTTCCGTCGCCGAGGCAATGGTTTAGGCCGAGGAGTATTAAGAGGATGATGGTAGAGATGGAGAGGCCATTTGTGTGGCCCGAAGAGCCTAAGGACTTTTCTGAGTGAGTTTTGACTTTTTGGCTTTTGTATATCTTTATGGCGGGGAAGGAAAGAATGTAGTGGGGGATTGGTTTCGGATGTTGCATGCTGGAGAGATGACATTCAAAGGGGATCCTAAGAAGATGCAATAACTAATCATACCATGTGTACAGTTGGGATCAAGAAAAAGTCAAGGCGCGCCAAGAATACGAAGAAGAACTACAAAGATCCACCTACCCAGACGCCAAACAAAAGCCCACCAACGAACGTATATCGATCGCCGAGCAAGCAAGGGCGATTTTGCAAGGAAAGGAGAAATGGAAGTCGACTCTCAATACGTGGGTTAATGTTGGGGGGGAGAAGGAAGTCGAGACAGATGTGCATGTACCTCGTTCTAGACGGAGTAGTCAGAACTGAAGAAAGATGGGAATGAATTAAAGTTGAACATACCTACTGTAGAAAGATTGTGTATATTGTGAGAGGCATTGTATGAGTATTTTCATTGATTGGGGAGTATATGAATATGAAGAATAAAAAAGATACTATTTATACTATTTATGTAATAACCCGGTTTTATTTAGTATTTATCTTTACTCGAGTAACATCGATACCTAGGTATCTCCTTTAACATGAGGCTTGACTCTCATGTACTCTCATATCCTTTCATATTCTCTCATATGTCCTCTTACATTCTCTCATATCCTTTCATATCCTCTTATATACCTACTCTCATATACTCTCACATACCATTACTTTCACATACCTAAATCTTTTCTTGCTCTACTCACAACTCTCTCTCTCTCTCTCTCTCTCTCTCTCAAAAATCCCTCTCCCTCGTCCCTAGGAAACATCACATAAATCCAGCACATAAATCATTGAAGAAAAGCGCTGGTACTGGTACAGGTACATGTCAAGTTTGGTATCGGCTAGTTCTGTTTCTATTTCTAGCTCTACTAGTTCCCACCAATCCCTCACCCACTCTGCCGAATTAACTCATTAACTAATTATTAACTCGTTAATTTCCTAACTCTATATGACATGATCTATCTCTCTACTGTACTGTACTCCAGTAGTCAATATCGATTTCAATATCGATTTCAATATATAAGTTTAAAATCTGACCCGCGCTATTTGCTCGGTTCTCGCTCTGAATCCTGATGCTTTCTTTGCCCTACACTTAACCTTAATTGCTCTTACTCACTCGCCCCGTCAAATTAACTGACATCTCTATTTCTATCTCCCTTGTAATTCTTCACAGTAGCCATGGGCTTCATTGATTGTCTGATGAATAGCACTCTCACCCTTACCCTCCCCCTCCTCCCCAGCCCAACTCTCCTCCCCTTCCCTCCAACCCCCATCCTCCCTCCCCCAACCCTCCAAAACTTCATCCCCCCACCCCCACCATCCCGCCGTCAAATTCCGCGCAAATATCTCTAGTCCCTTATAATCACAACCATCCTCATCATCATCCTTCTGCATCCCCAACAACTGTCCAAATAGAAATCTCAGATTTGGTTTGCGCGAATGGAGATCTGGTGTTCCTATTATTATTTTGCGTTTTATCGTTTTTGTTGTTGGTGTTGGTGTTGGTGTTGATGCTGTTGTTGATGATGTTGTTGGGCTGAGGATTTGGGGGGAGGTTGGGGTGTGTATTTTCCGGTTAATTTCACACTCCTCCTGCTCCTGTTCATTAGGATATAGTTCCTCAACACCCCCATCTCCACCACCACATTCCCTCTTAGCCATTTCAATTTCATCCCGTCCCTCTTTCCCACCAACTATCCCCATCAAACCACACTCCCCCCTCTCAACTCCCCTCTGAAACCCCGTCTTCCTCCCCACAAGCAAAATCTCCCAAGGTTTCCTCCACGTGCCTTGAATATCAAAAATTGGTTCTCCTTTCGAAGTTACTTTGAGCCAAATCCATTCTTCTACTAATTCAATGCCCCATTGCGAGAATAAACCGCCGTCGTCCAGGAGCAGGGCGCGGTAGGCGGGTTTGTTGGTTATCCAGATTCCGACGTAGCTGTTTTGTGAGGTGGAATGGATGGGGAGTCTGTGGTTTTGGGAGGTTGGGGTTAGATTTGGATGGGGTTTGTTGGGGGATGGGTATGTGATATTGGTATGAGATGGAGATGCAGATAGGATTAGATGTTTTGATAGAGCAAAGATTGAAGAAACCCCTCAGAGGAGAGGAGGAGATGAAGAAACAAGGAAACAACAAATCGAGAAACAAAACTTACGATCTCAACAACCCAGCAATACCCCCTGACCCCTCAGCAGTAACATAAGCATCCTTCCTCGCCGCCGACCGATTAGGCCAGGGCGGATCAACAATAATAACACTAAACTTAGGAAAGTTTTCATACTGATTCAAATTCATAGAGAAATTGACATTGAAATCAGATTCTGGGATCTTGCCGCATATCATGGTTGATTTGGGTGGCATCGTACGGATTATTCCATCCACGAAGATGCGCTTTTCAACTTTGAAGGCGTTGTGGTGGAAATTGATTGGTTCTTTTGTGGGGGGTTCCCGCTTTCTTTTCTTTTGGGGTTTGGTTTTATTGCTGGAGTCTATGGCATGGGGAATTAGTATTTTGTCGCATAGAGTTGGGAATTGGAAGTTCATGATTGCTCCCAGTATCGGGAGTCCATCGTTGCTCCAAATAGACTTGAATATCGGAAGCCCATGATATTCCCAAACAGAGTTAAAAATCGGACAATACAATACAAAATAACAAAACCCACCAAACTTACCATTACCATTACCATTACCATTACCCTCCTTCTCCTTCCCCTTCCCAGCAACACGATCTAAACACACCACTCCCTTCCACATCGGATCCCCCCTCATCTCCTCCAACGCCAGCTGAACATACCGCTCCAACATCAAATCCTCAATACTTTTCGCCGGAGCATTCCTAAGTGCCTTTTTAGACTTAGGTTCTAGTGATGGATATGGAGAATCTATTGGCGCGCAGGATATCAGTCTTCTTGTGATATTTGGATGTGGAATTGGATTATGTTTGGAGGAGAGGTATTGAGCGTCTTCGATTGAGCGTGGGATGTCGATTAGGGTAATGGTTTGCTGGGCGTTTTGGTAGAGGATGTGTGGTGGGTGGTTAGGGGGGAGGTGAGGGGGGAGGTGAGGGGGTTGCTGGATGGGTGGTGGTGTGGGATTGGTCATGGTTTTGTATGGCTCTCTCTCTCTCTCTCTTTTGATATTGGAGATTTGATGTTGGAGTGTTTGGTATCGTGGAATAGACTCGAGTATTTGCAATGAGGATACTTGGGGGGATGATCTCGAGATAGTACGATACTCCATTGACATCCCAACATCTATTCTCTAAACCAAAATTTAACAATGTAAGATTTTTTGAATTTTAAAATAATTTATAATTGCTTTGGCAGTCTATCTAAATTATCATATATATAGTTTGAATCATTTTGGTACAGGTATCATCCAAAAATCAACTAGATTTTTATTGATAGCCAAATGCAAATATCGCAATTCAACGTAGAACCCACATCACGTGACGCCGTACCCTTACATCGTCCAGAACAAACACGAAAAGAAGGAAATACATTTCGAAACTCTGTATGAAGAAGTCTCATATAAGCGTTCAAAAGTGAAATGTCAAGGCTAGAAAGATTTGTTTTTGACTCACTCAGGATGTCCTGTCAACATGGAGAGTCTCCAGCAATTAACATCTACAAAATACCTACTAAGCTAGGCATACCGGTATTCAAGGCTCCAGAATATACAATACATTCTACTTGAGTATATATATACAGCAATTCATTTCCTTCCAGCTCCAGCAATATTTTTATTTATTTCCAAATGTAATTTCAGGAATCATACTCTGTATCAGATACCCCGAATCACCTTAAAGTCCTTGTGGAGCTTCGCGCGAAGATCCTCCCTCAAATACCTTTTTCATATGCGAATGGTCGCACTGTATGAATGGGTTTTGGTTTTCATACCAACATAATATCTCCTTTCTGCAAACCTGCTATTAGACATACGATAAACCTGAATTTATCATGTTTATTGTCTAATCTTCTATTCTATTTCGCTATCACTTTCCTTTTGGTCGATACACTTACGAGCTTGCCTATCCATCAGTATATTCTTACAATTTGCAATGTTCGTGTTATGGGGTAGTCTCTTCCGTTGTTCACGGATAATGAGAGGGGTGTGATGATGAGAGATCTGATGATGGATGATTCCGCGATGAAAGATGAGATAATGAAAGGTTTGGTGGTAGAGGACCTCATAATGAATGACTTGGCAATGGAAGATTTACCTCTTCCTAGATGGCACCTACTCGTTCCTTATTCCCTGAACTATAAGTCGACAGAATGGTAATCGAACATGTACATCACGATTGAGGCCAGTACAGGAAAGTTCTTGGAGTTATGGCCACGTATCATGAGATAAAGTGTTTGGTGAGCCAGGAAGGATGGAAGAAGTTATGATACCTTACACCAACAACAGAATTCACGGAGTCGGGAACTGATGTACGAGTCGAACAAGCAGCAGGATAGGATGAGGACATCCAAAAAGAGAGGATGTCGATTATGGAGCTAGGTGTAGGATATATATTGGTTAATACTATCAGGAGTAAGAAGAGGAAGAAAATGAGAGTGTACAATATGAAGATGAACAAGACGAAATGAATAAGACGCAGATGTATAACGGGATGTTGAATCAGATAGCGAGGAAGACGAAAGCAACGAAGCAGAAACCGCACAACAACGCGCATGGGTGACCAAGGCTCCGAAAGAGAGATCAACGGGATGGGAATTTCACGACCCAATGAATATCTCCTGGAGTAGGATTTTTTATAGAGAAGGCCTTGTTATTGTGAAGAGGGGAAAGGGTGCCAATTACGCGAATGACGGAAATCATCAAAGTAAAGATTTCGGAGCATTGTTTAATAAGATTAGTTAGGAAATCATCAAAGAAACCGGTTACTAGTAAATATCTCCTGAAGATGATATAACTGGTCATCTTTGCCCTGCAAGTCAATGATTAAGATTAACTGGCTACAGTGGCATTGAATTATGTGTTTGGGAGAAAGGTGGCCTATACCATCACTTCGTTGTTTTGGCTTCAAGTGAACATTCAAAACATCCTGAATTTGATAGTTTTAGAAGATATCAATATCTTTCTAACACCTGAAAAGCAGATCTTTCAATTGTTTTATGTTTTTGATGTTTTTGATATTTTTCTTGGATCTATTGATGTGTCAATGGAGAGTAGATATAAATATCTATTTTAAGTCATCTTTTTCGCCGATGGAGAGTTAGTCGGATTCTTTCATTCAAACCATCTTTGTCACCCATGCATCTTTTATATTAAAAGCCGGGAAAGCTCTATACCGGGTATTAGCTGTACTCCGGAATGACAGAAGAAAACACTTGGCCCGTAATGCGGGGTTGCAACGTGCGGGGAAACCTAGTACTACAGTAGTGCTCGTGAGATAGCAGACCAATTACGGGTACTTTTAGATGATCATTTCACAATACGATACTGTCTTCCATATTTATAGACAATAAAATGTACATATTCTTATCCGGACCTGAGTCTTGACCGCCATGATGAAATATCAATTTGAAGAGACTTTGACTAGTATCGGATGGTTCGGATCATCTGCGGGCAACCCCCATTCATATAAAGTCTAATGTTGGTATAAGATTATGCGGATCATCTGCGGACAACCCCCATTCATATAAACTTTAATGTTTGTATAAGATGAATGAAAACTCTGACAATTTCCTAGCTGCATCATTCAGAAGTCTTGGTTTGCAATACCAGTCCTGCAATATGTTCTTTCCATTACTGCTTCTCGCCTATTCATCCTTAATTCTCCCTACGCTATGTTCTCCTACTCCCAACAAAAATGGCCTAGTAGTCAAAACAACCAGTGGTGAAATCCACGGCTTCATTAATCAAACCACACCACAAGTCCGTCAATTCTTAGGAGTGCCCTATGCCGAGCCTCCTATTGGTAACCTACGTTTCGCAGCACCACAAACAAAAACCAAAGGATCCTCCATTAATGCTACAGCTTTCCCTCCTTCGTGTATGCAATTGGCTAGTAATGGTTCGACGATCTATACGAATGTTGTACCGGAGTTCTTGATCAATGGGGGCCAGAGTGAAGATTGCTTATATTTGAGTATTTGGGCTCCAGCAAGAGAGACAAATGAGAGCTTACCCGTTTTCGTTTATATCCCTGGAGGTGGGTTTACAACTGGTGGACAGAATTCATTGTATAAGATTCCGGATCGTTGGGTTCAGAAAACTCAATCCCATATTGTGGTTGTGATGAAGTAGGTTTTTTGTGACTCTCTTCTCTTTGCGTCTAAAAGACTGTTCTGTTCTAACTGTACCATTAAAGTTACCGCGTAAACGTCTTCGGGTTCCCAAACGCAAAGGCTCTTACGGAGGATAGAAACCCAGGATTACTCGATCAGAGAAAAGCGTAAGCAATTCTTCTTCTTATCTCCCTCATTATCCAAATAACTAATAACTTCTCAGCGTCGAATGGGTACACCAAAACATCGCATCCTTCAACGGCGACCCAAACCGCATGATCCTCTGGGGTCAATCAGCCGGCGGTGCCAGCGCAGATAGTTACGGCTATGCCTACCCCAACAATCCCATCGTCAAAGGTCTAATCATCGATTCCGGATCCGCCTATCTTCTCGGTAGTACCGACGTCCTCCAAACAAACTTCACTGCCCTAGCTGGTATGGTCGGATGTAAGGATCTTAAAGCAGAAGCGGAAATAGGATGCATGAGGAACATTTCAGCGAGTGTGATTGAGAATGCTTTGAGTAGTTATGCGAATAGTGGTGTTACTCCGAAACTTGCATTTACGCCGTTTCCGGATAATGTTACTGCGTTTTCCAATGGTGCAGACAGAGCTGCGAGAGGACTGGTTGCGAAGTTGGTAAGTTCCCTTCACCGTTCTCGAACTTGTGTCGTTCATTCGATGAATTGAAACTGACGAGTTGTGCGTGTGATTTAAACAGCCAGCAATCATAGGATCCAATACAAACGAAGGAGCCGGTTTTGTTCCCTTTTCTGAAAATGGTCCTGGTGCTGCAATATTAAATGCTACAACACAAAGTATAATCGCATGTCCTGTTGCCCGAGAAGTTAGGTACGATATGATGTCCCTCTCTCCTGAAATATAAGGGCAATTTCCCTAACCGAGGTCTATATATACATAGAGCGCGAGTAAATATCGGCCTACCAACATACCGCTACCAATACGCCGGTAACTTCTCCAACATCTCTCCTTTACCCTGGATGGGCACTTTTCACAGCTGTATGTTCATTCCCCTTTCTCTCCATCCATACACTTGGTCAAATCTCCATATGCATTCACCCCCATCCCCACTACCCCTATCACCATTCATATCACCATACACATCACCATACATCTCACAAACAAAACACAACCACTAACACCCCGCCTCTCCACTCTCAAAGCCGAACTCCCCCTCCTCTTCAACACACACGCAGAATACCGCAGTAATTCCACACCCTACGAATACGAAGTGGCAGATACCATGCAAGCACTATGGCTATCGTTTGCGAATGATGCTGGGAAGGCTCCAACGGTGGACGGGATGACGTGGCCGGTCTATGAGGTGGAGACAAAGAGTATGGTTGTGTTTGCGGAGGGGGAGACGGTGGTGCAGTTGGAGGGGGGAGAGAGGATTGATGGGGGGTGTAGATTCTAGGGGGAGGAAGGGGGGAGGGAGGAGGGAGGGAAGGGGACGGGGTTTGATTATACAAAGGTATTTTGGATAAGAATGATTGTAAAAATATTGGATAATAGGGATGGATGTTCAAATGAAAAATAAGAAGAAATCTAAATCTATGATCAGACACATATCTAACAGCATATACTCGAGTAACTAACTTATCGCTATATGAACATAACCCATGTGCTATACTGTACTCGAGTATCATATACTACCAAAGTGCTGGAATCTCTTCAATATATACACTATACACTATACACACCGTCCACAACACACATCACAACACACATCACATCACAAGCACTAAGCACTAAGTACTACACAGCAAATCCAATCCAATCCAATCCAACATCAGCCGAACTTCTCATATCCATCAATACTGTATACACACATAAATAACATGAAATATAAACAAAACAACTCAACTCAACTCAAACAATCAACTCAACTCAAACAACTCAATCAACTTCATCAAGCAGCCCACTAGCAAAAAAAACCCCCCCAGACAAAATAAAACGAAGTTCCATGGATGTTTAATTTTCTCGATAAATATACTCGAGTATATATATATCTAAACCACATATCCCCCCATTCCCCCTCCCTCCCCCATTTCCCCTCCCTTCCCCCTCACCAACGATTAACTATAACTATAACTATAACTAAATAAAAATATATAAAAACACACTGTGGGTGGTACTCGCTCCACGATCGCATAGCATAGCATAGCACACCATAGCACACCATAGCATACCCGCAGACGACGCTACATCCCAAACCCAAACGCCATTGTTTATAAACATTGCATTGCATTTGCATACCATAAATACATTATTACATTACATGATAACCTTCCCATGTTTTTCATTTATCATCCGCTGCTTTTGATTTCTTCTTGTCTTTTTCCTTTTTCCTGTCTTCGTTACGTGGTGATTGTTGATGATATATATATATGTAGAGATATATACCATACATAAACTCATACGACGCATCAATCATACTTTCCTCCTTTTCTTTCTTTCTTTCCATCATGTTCGTTCGTTCGTTCGTTCGATCACGCTCCTTCCTTCTACTTATGAAGTACGATCAGAAATGGGAGCTAACCCAACCTAAGCATTAATAACCTCCGTTTTATTCTCTCCACCACCCGCCGTTTCAGGGAACATCCTCTCATCATGTTCTAGCATTGGTCTCCCCGCCATCTCACTCTTCTTAATATCCTTTCCACCCTTGGTCAAGAACATTCTATCCGTCTCCACACCACTGAGACCCTCTGCACCTAGCGATTTAGGATCCCAGCTAGCTGATGTGCGCGGGTTAACGTGTAGCACGTACATGGTATCGATTTCCTCCAAGGAGCGATCTTTGGTTTCGATGACGAAGAAAAAGACGATCCAGAAGAGACAGAAAAGAGAACCTGCGAATACGAGTCCGTAATAATAGTCGATGTCGTTTGTGATGAAGGTAGTGAAGAACGAGATGAGGAAGTTAAAGAGCCAGTTGGAGGCCGTGGCGAGCGCCATGCAAGAGGCGCGGTAGCGCGCTGGGTAGAGTTCGCCGACGATGGCCCAGACGAGGGGACCCCAGGTTGTGGCGAATCCGACAATGTAGATGCAGGTGAAGCAGATGAGGACGGCACCTGGGGCTGCTACATCGGTTCCGCCTTGGATTTTAAAGTGGCCGACGAAAGCGTAGATTAACATGCAGAAGAACATCTCTGCGGCACCAATCATGAGGGCCTTTCTACGGCCGCAGGTCTTTACTACATAGAGACCGGCAATCGTGGCGACGACATTGACGGAACCGAGAATAATGGACGTGACATACGAATCGGAGATACCGCCGGACTTGAAGATTGTAGTACCGTAGTAGAAGAAGAAATTGGCACCGGTCAATTGTTGGCCTGCTTGCAGAGCCATGCCCAGAAGTGTGCGGTACAACATTCGTGGACCGGTGAAGATTTCGTACCAAGGGTGATCACCACCTTCTCTTTCGGCTGCGAGCTTGAGTTCGATTTCGTTGATCTCGGCGTCGATGAGGGGGGAGTATGGGTCTACGCCGTTGAGAAGAGCCATGTTTTTGCGGGCTTCGTCTTCACGTCCGATGCGGTATGCGAAACGAGGGGATTCAGGCATGAAGAGGACGGCGGTACCGAGGATGATGGCCCAGAGTGCTGAGAGTCCGTTGGGAATACGCCATTGCGCACTGGTGGTATAGGTGTGAGTTCCGTAGTTGACCTATTTTTTGATGTTAGCGAGTGATCATTTTGACTAATCTGATAAAAAAAGGAAGTTGCTTACCATATAAGCAGTCCAGATACCAAGCGTAATCAACAATTGATAACTGGAAACGACGGCGGCACGAATATTCTTTGGCACAGATTCCGATTGATACATGGGTACCGAAGTACTCAAAGCACCAATGCCTAGACCAGCCACAAATCTTCCCATGGCGAATTGAACCCAGTGAGTAGATGAAGTAATTTCGATAATAACACCGACGATGTAGAAGAATGCCGAGCTAGAAATAGTGTAACGACGACCGATTTTATCGCAGAGGTAACCAGATGCGAGACAACCAACAAGGGTACCGGCGCAGAGAATGGCGACGATAGTTCCTTGACGGACCGCAGAAAGTTCTCCGTCTTCACCGAATCGAGCTAAGAAATCCGACATTTGGACGAAACCTTGGGGATATATTAGCAAATCATTGCTGTAATGATCCAAGAGTGAAAGGACTAACCAGAAATTTGACCCGATTCATAACCGAACATGAAACCACCAATAGATGCGATCGAACCAAGAGTGAGAGCCAATTTGGTAGCTGGCAAGTTGTCGAGGGCTACGGCATCTGGGGCAGAACCATTTAAGGATCTGGCGACACGAGGAGTCTCGGTGGGTGTATGTGTTGCTGGTGTAGCCTCTGCGCTGCTGAGGTGCTTGTCGGAAACAACAGTTGTCTCTTCTTTTGTCTCCTTCTTCTTGTTGAACAACCCCATGATTGCTGAGTTCTCTGAACTTCTCCTATGAGCAAATGTATTATATATATATATATGGAAAGACGATATCAATCAACGGCTTTATTCAAAGGCGCAAACGAATAGCCCCGGATAGAATAAGAAGATGAAGAAAAGAAGACGCGGAGAATGGAGAGGGAGGGGGATTTGGGGATTGAAAGGATTTTATAACAACACAACATGGAAAATATAAAGATGAGAGTGGAGACAATAACTCCATCAAGTCCTCACGATCGGGGGCCCCGAGGTGATGCCTCCATGAATTAGCCCACACTTGGCAACATTCCCATCATTTTATCATGCGGATCAGATTCCACTTGGGAAAATGACTCTAGCCCCTCAATTTGGGGAAGCTAGGCTAGAGGTCTGAAAACAATCCAAGGTTTTCTTTAAGATGAAGAATCTACCCAAAGAATGTTCGGTGGTGAGTGGACTCAGTGGAGTGATGAATGAAACCCCGGTCAAAATGTTCAGAACCCGCCATTGTTCCCCCGGTATATGGTAATTATGGTCACGATCTGGTTAGGGTCTTGCTTGAATGGAATTGGTCTGTTGGGTTCAGGAGAAATTGAGAATAGACGATGTGTAGAAAATCGGGTCCAAAATAGAGCGACGACCGCGATAGCACCGAGTACTACTACGGGTAAAGAAGAGAGCGCTTCATAGTTCTTGAAATTTCATTGGGTGTTTTGATTCATGTTCCTCATCACTTGGCCTTTCAGTGCTAGAAAATCTGTTTAGTATTGTTGCTGTTTTCCTCATGTCCTTACTTGCCAAATATGTACGATCTTGAGATCTCCTCAACACACAGGCATGAGGTCAGAACATTGTGAATATTTGCCGACTTCACTAATCCCTTTATGGACTAGATGTATCGATTATGTGGATTTGAGGCTCAATCCAGGCTTGTCATTTCGGATATTGTAGCATGATCTCCCCTGCGGCTGGATTGGCGTTGGCTCTAGACCCATAAAAAGGGATTGAGCCTATGAAAATGGAAAGGAAAAAAACAAGGTTCAGTGGTTTTCTTACCTTGCGGCGGGAACGAAAGCTACGAAGCGGCAAAGCGGCAGTCAAGTGAGGCCAAGCGTCTGCATCCAATAGGCGAGCAAAAAACATACAGATGAAGATTTGCATGGCAGCACCTTGAATTAGCGCCCGTCATCTCAAGACTTATCGTTTGATATGCTGTGTCTTCTTGAGTTTGTTAGTTTCTAGGAGCCGACGAAAATATGCAGAATAGTTTCGAGGAAGCACCGGGCTCATAACTTTTCTTCTCTTCTCGCTGCATCTCTTCCGAAGACTAACCGATCAACTCGCTCATCTCTTCCTAGAATAGTATAGACATCATCCCAAGAATAAGGCGAACTTAGCTTTTTTTTTTTTTTGGTTTGTTTGGTGGCAAACCCACATCTAAAAGGACATATTTCGGTTTTATTTCAATATCAATCCATTCAAAACTCCACCTCGTGGATATCTTCTCGGCCATACTTTCATCTGTCAAGTTGTTCAACTTGTCAAGAATCAAGATCAACAAATCATGTAACGCATAAAAACATCTGATCAATACGAAACCTCATAAGGGTAAACGTAATAATCATCCAGGAATTCATTGAAATTTGGCCGAAGTGTGTTGTTCGATAGTATTCTTTTCTTCTTTTTGTGGTACCTCCCGCTGTACGTACCGCAACCCCATCGTTGCCCATGGGACCTCCTCATTTTCTCCCGACTTTTATCCCATGGCATGGGACACACAATCATGGAGTACTGTATGCAGCTTGGGGTGTACGGAGTAGAATCTGAATTTTGGGGTCCCCCTTTTTTGATACTTTTGATGCAGGTGGTTGTTGTTGCCGTTATGCCGGTGGGGTGAGAATGACGATAATATATATTGAGTGGAGTAGGAAAGTTTCGGAAAGAACTTGCACTGATAATCTGATTAAATAGATTATAGATTATTGTAACCTTATGTCACGTGTTAAATCAAGACTCGAGTCAGGTTTCCTCTTGAAAACTCTTCTAAGTTCTGGGGCCTCTCGCGTTGTAAATTTGCTTGTAAAGAGCATCTCGAATATAACACGAGCTTTGAATCAAGGATCTTGTGAAATCGTAGGACTTGTTATTCGGCCCCTCCCTTTTCGATCGTTTTGAAATATGGTCCAAAGCTACACAGTGCACACTGTCGCTCGCCCTGACTAGCTATTATATTAATCAACTTACGAGTAGCTGCCATTCGATTTTCAAGCCATGTATCACTAGTAATAATAACCCGTTCTAGAAAAAGACTAATAAGAGAGAGACTTCTCAGGGTCCTTGGCTGGTGAGTTTCAGAAGTTTATCTTCTTACGCCGTGACTGCACGGTTTTTTTCAAAGCCACTTGTATCTATCATTTTGTGCTGCACACAAAAAGCTCGGCTTTTAAAAATTAGAAATGTGGTGCCAGTAATAGAGAAGAGAGAACAGAGTCAGGAAGGGCCTTTAATTAATATGGATATGAATCAATATCGGTTAAAAGGGGTCAATCCGTTTCGTATTGTGATGTATCGTCTAGAAATGTTTGGACGATGATCTTTTTTTGCTGCCCGATCCAAGCCTTTGCCATTCGCAGATTCTGTACTGGTGTGTGGTAACAAGCAATCCATCGTATCTTTGGTATTGTATATTGTCATATCTCATCTCGAAGGCTATTCGGATCATCCGGGGGTGGTACAGTATCATAATTCTAGGAAGGTTGAAGTGTCGCTCGTCTGATCTTGATTGTTTATCCAATTGGAAGGATTAATTCCTGCCCACTCAAGCAAGTGCACGGCAGCTTCGGTATCAATTGTATCGGTCGACCTGATGCTATAATATTGTTTGCTTTCTTGCATATATTACCCACTGGGGATATGAAGTAATAGTAAAATCAGGCAAGATATATCGGCCAAGATGAAAATCAAAAATTGATGTCTGTCTGACGGACTAAAAATTCTCAAATTAGTAGTTGTCAAAAGAATATTAGAAGCAATCGACAAGAAAGCATACTTGGTGAAAAGCTGCAATTTGAAAGAGACGCTGGGGGGCAAACGATCAATTCACGGGAATGATGAACGGAATAACCCCAAAGATTTTGCTGCTATTCGAAATTGAGGAACTCTCATTCATATTGAACAGTCGATTCAGATTTGTATTGATAGTTTGATGCATTGTCCTCGAGTACAAATGTAGAAATGTTTTATCTTGTTTTTCCTTGGATATTCACTTCTGGTGCTGTGGTGTTTTCCATTATTCGAGTAGTTCAGTGTCACGTTATTATTCATTTGCAATCAATCTACTTTCGTCGCCCATCCTCCTTCCTACATCTATCTATTGTGTGATGCTACAAATCAATTCCCTTTCCCAAACCTCACTTTCTTGCATTTCAAGGTCATTATTGTCGGGGGTTTGAAGTTGTCAGAGCCATTATCATTCTTCGTTGCGCTGCCAAATTCCAATTGATTATAGCACGAACATAGGCTCTATCCCAGTGCGATACGCTTTTCAACCGGTCACGTCAAGTCACAATTCTCAAATCAAATGAAATGGTGGTTTCTAATCCCAAAATATATCCAACTTCATATCGCCGCTCCATCATCAAAATATCATATACATAAACCATAGCATATCTGAGTTCCCTCATCCATTAACCTTGGATCTTAACTTCCTCGTTCTAGGCATATCATGGAAAAACTGCTCTTCTTCCAACCAACTAGAGTAGTATTCATTCCATTTGCAGAGAGTATGACGAAATCCCACTATTTGTTGACAGTGGTATTGTATTCCCCTCCTCAATGCTCCCTTTCTCTTTTACTCCTTTCCTATCCCGCTCCTAACCTCTGAAATATCGCGTTTCTTCCTATTTTTAGAGCTAGAATAGGAGAGGAGGGGGGGTTTTTTTTTGGAAATAATAGATAATTATAAATTGATGAGTTCAAACTATATATAATTAGATAAACAAAAGTCATATAATCAAAATATTAATTCAGCCTTTTTTATACTATAAGATAGGATAGGAGAGGAGGGGAAATCAATATCACTATATTGTTGTAATATATTTGTTATAGCTAGAGAGAAGGCTATATATCGCACCACAGATAATATCTCGTTTATAAAATCGAATATAAGTAAAGCCGTATATCTTGACTATATTAGTCAATTGTTGTTATAGTCCCTAGTTTGTTTTCATATAGACTAGACCAGCAAGTGCTAGCCCAGTCATTTCTCTAGATCCATCAGTCTCTAAGTCTATACATTCCACAGCATCATTTTGCAATGCGGAATACCATTTCGACATATAATATTTGATCTAACTGCAGATATACATTTGGAAATTTACATCTCAATTTACAGTGATACAGAGCCAAGCGACTTCTATCTTATGAACATCGAACATTGCTCGCAATAATGAGCGCTTGCGTCAAGAACACTTGCTACTATCTCGAGTAATCCTCAATATATTCTCGAATCTCAATAGGAACATCACTCTTTAGTAAATAAATACTATATCTAGTTCTCATTTAAATTCACAGTTACAATTCAGATCATTCGAGATATCCGCTAACGTTTAGGTTCGTGATCATTGTCAGGCTAGTATAATCACCATATGCGCTTTGCAAGCTTACTAATATGTACTGAAGTCCAGGTTGAGGGTTGAGGTAGCTTCGCTTATAAGTTATGGCGAAGCTAAAAGTAGGGAATTGTGATCATATTTTATAAGGATGCTACTGGTACAGCCGACATGGTTGAAATACTAATTAATACTAGAGACGATATGATAGCACTTCGAATAATAATAACAGTCGAAGATAGCTACATGTTCATTTTCCTTCAAAATACACATCGGGATGTAGTTACCTACCTTCTCTTGGGGAAACGTGGAACCACCTGTGCTTGATACACACCAGACTTTCGCATCGCTACCGTGACTGGACAACATAACGGAGTTGAAATCTTATATCTTTCA